AACATCAAGAGGGCATAAAGTTCCAACAACAAGGAAGTTGGAAGTTATTATTACTGTAAGAAGCTTCTCTACATCTCATAATGTGTGGATTATTGAGATTGAGAAAAAAGCATACTGGAAACTAATTTCATTCACAGACATGATGCGAGGTTAGGCTAGCTTCAAATAGCTTCACAGTTTATGAAAGAAATTCCTGTGCATTATATGACTATTACTACACCAGAAAATCCACTCATATTAGTCACATAGAACATTGATTTTGCAGTGGGGGCAGTTTTACCACAAGTACAATATGGAAAAGAGAATGTAACTGCCTACTATAGTAAAGTAATGAAAACTGCAGGAAGGGGTATTGTACAACTATAGAATAGCTACAAAATGTTGTTTATACCCTAAGTCATTTTCCATCATTATCTATATGGAGAAATGTTTACACTCAGAATATATCATGCAGCATTGAAGGTAGTTGATGAATGTTTTGCAATCTAGAAGGCCAGATAGCAAGATGACTTCAGAAACATGAGGAGTAGAACTTTAAATTCATTGTCAATAACCGTGAGTTAATGAAATATGTTAACACTGTTACAAGAGGGGGAAACGCAGAGAATAAAGACAACCAACCTAAAATAAAACAAATTATTATCCAAGACGTGATTTCCTCTAACGAAAAGATACTCAGACAAAAGATACGAGTTTGAAACCAATTATTCAGTGGAACAAGGATAGTTTAGAAAACCACTAATGGCAAATAGTCGCTCTACACAGTACAAGGACAAAGATGCACTGGGCATAGTGGGATTCATTATGCCTATAAGATGCCTTGTTTTGTCAGAAACGGAAAGATACCACTAGACAGAAAAAATTACTGCAGTTGGTACTTCCACAGTATTTACATTCCAAGGTATTTCATTGTTTCCAAACTGCCAAAAGCTAGGTACTTAGGTATTAAGAAAACACTGGAAACAGTTAACAAGAATTCTATTGAGTTGGATACCAGATTTCTGTAGAGAATTGGTGTACACTCTTGAGAAAAAAATATCCACAAAATTAACAACATGAGCAGATACAGCAGTATTGTGTTTGAGCACTAGTTAAGAGACTTGCTGTTGATGTGCCTGGTCCTCTGCCACAGAGTAACAGTCAGAGTAGATACGCCATGGTTGTGATGAACTAGTTCGCGAAATATCCAAATGCATATGCTGTTCCTAACTAGGAAGCAGAAACCCTAACTAGAAAACTCGTCAGTGAATTTATTTCAAGATTTGGAATAGCTGTGGCCTGAGGCATATGCAATACCAAATAAGGAAGCTACAACTGTAGCTTCGGCTATTAGTGATTTCTTTTTCAGGTTTGGTATGCCATACGAACTGCATTCAGATCAAGGCCGTAACTTTGAATCAGCTATGTTCCATGAATTTTGCAAGTTGTTTGGCATACGAAAGACCAGGACAACGCCACTTCACCCACAGTCTGATGGGATGGTAGAAAACTACAATTGGACACTTGGATAGGAATTGACAAAGTTTTGTAATAGCCGCCAAGATGACTGGAATGTCTTACTCCTTCCACTGTTGATGGCCTATAGAACAGCAAAGCATGAAGCCACTGGATACACTCCAGCAAAGCTGATATTTGGTCGGGAACTTCGGTTGCCAGTGGACCTGATAACAGGACGCCCACCTTAGGAAGAGTTGCCTGAAAATGTGTCAGAGTTTGTGAAAGTGTTATCTGAAAGGATGGATGATATTCACCATCAAGTGCGTTCAAACTTAAAAACGTCTGCTGATTCCATGAAGCTATGTTATGATAACAGATCTACTGAAGTCAGCTTTGTACCAAGAGACAAGGTGTGGTTGTAGAATCCCAGGAAGACCAAAAGGAAGTCTCCTAAGTTGTCTTCTCCATGGGAAGGCCCATATGACATAGTGGATCGTCTCTAAGACGTGAGTTTCCTAATAAAATGTGGTCGGCGAGGTAAGCCATAGGTGGTGCATGCCAACAGGCTTTGGCGTTATCACGGTCCAGGACATTTCAGTTGGAATGAAGTGAACAACAGAACAATCGATGCTGCTGAAGACGTGTACCTGAAATAGCCACTGTTGAAGAAAAAACTCTACCCGGTTTTGAGAAGGAAAACAGTGAAGCCGTTAGTGAAGATACTACCACTGATGTGACTGTTACTGACGATAGGACATTTCCTGATGAAGCAGATGAACCTCACGTGAAGCAGAAGTCAATGAGACGGAGACCAGTACAGAAAAAGATAGTCCCGTAAAATTAAGATACTTGTTGTATTTTAATTTTGTGTTTGTAAATTCTGTACATTTAATTAAGTTATTGTTAATTATCAGTTGATTAAATGTAAGTGGCTGTTGTTCGGGATGAACAATACTAAGGAAGGGGAAGTGTTACGACAGCGGATGTCACGAGACGCTGGGAGCACGCGCGCTGGAGTTTCTCGAAGGATCATGAATTTGCCCACCAGCTCGAGTGTGGTGTAGATGCCCTCTTTTTTTTTAGTATATATAAG